TTGTTTCGGTTCGGTTCGAGTTCCGGTTCAGCAGAAAACAAACGTTCCGGACTCCGGTTCACGGTTCGGAAAAACAAGCCGGTTCGTNTCTTAAATTTTGCTAGGAAATTTGTTTATCTCCCTCCTTCTAAACATCTTGATACTCAATACCCTTACTATTCCCTCCACAAAATCTCCCTCAGCCTCGCTACAAATCTTGACTCCTTTATTTTTCTTAGATCCTCTCCCTTTATCATTTCACTGTATTTGCTCTTCATCAATTCCCTCACGTTAAAATAAACCTGAATTTGAATTAAAGATTTGTACCTTCACCTACCTGCCGAATCGCTATATCGTATACTAAGTAAGGCCTATAACTCTTTGCTGACAGTTGGTTAAGTGGATAGCGGTTCCAGTAAAAGAGTCCCATCAAATCGTACCATTAAAAAACAGTTTTTGATAAAATGTTAGTCCTGGAATTTATACCAGTATATTTCTGGTAGGGCACAAATGGCTCTTATTATTCTAAAGTTAGTTTCTTTTATGGTTTGGAAACCTTATAGCGCCTTTCTTTACAAATTAATATTAGTAGTACTTCCAATAACCTTTTCTTTAAAAAAAGGCTAGTTTCCGTAGTGGTGGTGAACTAAACACTTGTATACCTAAGTAGAAAGAGGAGATTGTGGTAAATATTAATTAAAAATTAAAAGGAATACTCACCCCTAATTACCACAAAAAAAAACTTTATTTGAGCGGATACGTGTTTCCCACGTATGAAGTGGGCGAAACACGTGTCCGCTCAAATAATTTTTTTTTGAGGTAATTAGGGGTGAGTCTTCCTTGAAATAATTAAATTGAAAATTCTTAAAAAGGTATATTTATTTTACTATTACATACAAACGTGCTATCATTTTTGGATAAGTCTTATTGTTAGTATAGTTTTATTTAGTCTTAATTTTGTTTATATTAGTTATAGTTTAGTTAATTTTTCGCAAAACTATGTACAGGCATCTTGTATGTCTCTATAGAAGACGAAGTTTAAATTAATAAAAAAAAATTCGTTCAAACATGTTATGTTATGCATATGTTAATGTATTATACCTAGGTGTATGGTCACGTTAAGAATTTTAGGATGCTTTTTCGAAGAATAAATGCCTCTTTCTTTCTCCGCAATAACTCTTCACCAACGGAGTTTCTGATTCCTACCAATATTATTATCTTGGGGCTCATGGCGTTTTGAATGGTATTGAGCTAAAAATCTCAGTCTGTTAATAATCATCCATATTTTTTGCCTACTAATAATAAATTTGAAAGCACCTTAACTCCCGTCAAAATAATAACATGAATGAATGAATCCTGAATCTATTTGAAGAACCGAAATAATCATAATCCTGAGATGAATCCTCAAAATCCTCTTGCAATTCTGAATTATCTATGTAAATGAAGTAAGTTATGTGAGACTATCGCAAATACACATGCATAATTTTACGTTTTTTCCTAAATATATTCACACTTTTTGTATCGAAATTACTGTTTTTGTTGTAATTTATAAATATTTTATAATATGGAAAAGAACACAAAACTTATTTTGCGCACACAAGCGACTTTTTTTAATAGATCCTAAAAAACAGAATCGTAATTTTCAACGTATTTTACCATTTTAAAATCGCAATGGCATTACTGGATAATTTGGAGATGAAGTACTAGCAGTAATAGCAACATAACCTGAAGAAAAATTCATAACATTCGTTTTTCTGTTTAAACAAAAGGACTGAAAAAAAGAAAAAGTAAGTAGAATATCTTATATAATTGTGTAAATAGAAAGGACGGCCTATTTAAGCTTCGCCCCGGGGGACAAAAATTCACGTTACGCCACTATTCTGTTTATCAATATACAGGGCGTTATTTTACTTATAAACATTACAGTACTTATTCGATACGCATTTAACAAAATTAAACCTTTTTATTTTATTTTCTGAGAATTCCATATTTTTCAGTTCTTCCTTGCTCTTGAACAGTATTAATTTTTATGTAGGTATCCATCCAAAAATCACTCTTTTCCACGTTGATTTAAAGTATACAATTAACGACATTTTGCTTAGTTTTCATTACTTATCTACTTCACTTCTTGATGTGATTAACTATATTTTATGATGCAAAACAAACATACCCCATCAACTGTAACCAATAAACCAGTTTAGGGGGTGATCCGGGTAATTATTAGATGCAAAAGAAATTTTATTGGACGAACACCATCCAGAAACGATTACAAATACATAGAATAGAAAATATGTTAACAAAAACTGTCTCAAAACGACATCATGTTTTTTATTCCACGTAAGTTTCTACCTGTTATTTGTAAAAAGTGATTCATCCTCTATTATTTATTTTATTGTTTGGAATATTTGAAAAGATTTTTTTAAAAAAAATTATAGAAAAAAGAATATATTTCAATTTTATTATTATTCGAATGTAATGTAGCTAGGTATGTATTCATTATATGCAGAATGTACTTATTAAAATGGATATTCATAAATGAAAACGCATAAACTTTATCAATATGCTTTTCGCAACAGTTTCTAATACTTAGAAAATATTTATTTTATGGTATTTCAAATTCGTCTTATTAACATACATATAAATTTAAAATACGTTCTGCAATTACTTATTTAGCTTGTTAACTCCTTAATACGACAGATTTTCTTTATCCGTATATCCTGCCAGTTAGCTTAACAAGTTCAATTTCGACTATTTGAAGTATTTTCATTTAAGTTCCTTATGTTTTATTGTTGATATACAAAGTTTTTTGCAAAAAGGTATAAGTACCTATTATTAATAATAATCACGTATCCTAATAATACACTAAAAGTGTAGTTTGTTTAGTATGTACTTCATATAATTATGCACTACTAAAATCAAACAAATAAATCTTATAATAGATCGCAATAGGCCTATCTTATACAGAAAAATACTAACCATTTGATTATGTTTTCCTAATAACCTTATGAAAACAGCAAAGATTCAGTTTTCTCTTAAATTTCAATGATAAATATAATTAGCAGGAAGCTGACGTCGTTCGCACATTGAAGGTCCGTACTTAGGCCTGTGATAAAATTTTTATGGGGTGTAAGGACTACTCTAATGCCGTAATACATCGACAAATTGTGATTACACCCATTTTTTCTTAGGTTGAAAGTTAACTTACTGTTTGCATAGTTCGTTTTAGCATTGAAGTAACTTTTTCGCAAAAAGTGTACGTTAATCAGAACCGGAAATACCGAAACCTACTTTTGACAATCTTATCAGATCAACAACTTTTTTTTTTAAATAGAATGATCCATGTTAAATGATACCGTTCGTCACGAAATTAAAAACCCGTTCTACTAATATAAAATTTTAAATGTTAATCTCGATCGTTTATTTTCTGGAAAACTCTTAGCAAAGTCGATCTAAAATTAAGCAATGAAACCAAAAACGGAAATATATAACGAAGTTAGGAAACTTTCAGAAGAAATGGAACACCCTGTATGACTGAAAATATTTTTTGTATACAGGGTGGCCTAAAAAGTAAGCGATATGCTCGTTGCGGTCAAACTGTAAGTGTAATCGAATTTTAATTACACTTTTGCTTGCTGAGCACGGTAAAACTTACTTGACATGCCCAGAAAAATATTAATTCAAAATTAAAATATGTTTCAATCCAATGGTTTAATAAACTCCAAAGGTGAAATAAACTCATTTCAAATGACATAAGATATAAGTTAGTTACATTTTATTTAAATATCCGTAAAAAATTGTAAATAGTTTTGATTATTTATTATTAAACTGAACGATGTCATCAGATACTCACGTAATTTGTGTTAATGAAAATAAAGATCTGATATTCAGTGATGCAGGATTAGTGATAATGTATGAGAAAAACAATAAGTTTGTATCCAATTATTGTAAATTCTATTTGATAAAGTGTAATTATAAATACGTAGTTATACTATTTACCTTCCACAAACGTAATTCAGTAATAAAGAACATTTGTTATACATGAAAAATTGAAAACCATATTGTTACTGTGAATTACTGTCGAGTGTGTACCAATAAGTTTATTGTTTGCTATATATTTTTGATTTTCATATTCTCATATTTAAATTGGGCTCATAATTCTTTATAATCATCAAAAATTGATTGTATTCAACCTCTTCATCTTTACTACTCTCATCATCAAATATCACATCAAGCAAGTTTCGTGATAAATTGTTAAAATAGCAAACACTTCTCTATGTTGAGTCATCATTACTTTAAAGGTTAGAAATAAAACGTTATTATTTAAAAAAAAATCCAAATTTAAATTACAGCAGGCATTCAGAAAATTTATATTCCACGGATCACATTGGATACGAAACTAAGTAACGTGATGTTCTCCTGGATTCATTTCACAATTTTTCATGGGGACATTTCTGAACGCACCCTAGGCACGGTGTATGGTCATGCTTAGTTAACTTTTCTATCAAAAATAGTGTAGACTAGACCTGGCAGATGGCGATGTTGCAGGGTTTAAAGATTTTGTAAAATGGGTTGCATAAGAAAAATAGTATACGATCATGAAAAATATTATCAAAAGAAGTTTTTATTAAAATTGGTAACGCTATTAATAATGATTTGTAATGTCTTTCATTGGGGAAGAAGTCGGGAAATATCACATGTAAACGTTCAAAAGTCGCGTCCGCCATTGCGAAGCATCCTTTGTATATCTATTATCTATGTGTATGGAAAAGTTTTGTCTGCAGAATAGTCCGCAGATAAGGTTTTCTCACTGCTTACATTGACGACAAATTTTTAAATATTAAAGTTATAGTAAAATCATTAGGAAACATGGGCTATTCAGTCAGTATATACTCTCTGGGGAAATTTTATTTATGGATAGCAAGTAAAGTTTTGTCAGTAGATGGCGTTAATACTTTGAGAAGAATGGAGACTCATAACTCTTGGTCGTGAACAGTATTCGAACTACCAGCGATGGTCATTTAAACTACAGAAGCCGCCGCCAATCAAATATCTACAACGCGTAAGCTCTTATCTTCAAAATGACGTTAACTTTTAACCATGTATCATCCATGTATTAACTGTACAGCGTGTAGTGATGCGAGTCATGTGTTTTCAAGGTGTAAATTAAAAATAATAAGAAATTAAAAACTTATCGCTAATTATAGTATGCCATGGAGGTAGTGTATAACAATAAGACTGTTGTTAAACAACCATTATTTTACAAAGTTGTGTATATTTTAATACATACATTGTGGACAGTAGTAGGAAACGTATATGATGTAATTACGTTTTATTACAAAAAAATATTATATTTTATTTATGAATATTCAAATAAATGTAGTAAAAATCCATTTCAACCCGTGCTACGGCTAAAAAAAATTCCTAACCATCTAACAGTGATCTTAGGGGATGAAGCACTATCCTTTCAGGAATTGGCAAATGTTGTGATATGGAGCCTTTTTACTGGAATAAATTTTATAAGCTTTTTTGATCATAAAGGTATTTCTGCATTATACTTATATTTTTGATCATATATAAATTTTGTTTGAGTTTATCAGGTGATGTTTATTTTTCATTATTTATCCAAGTTAAACTTATTTTCGATTACTATACCTACATTTATTTAACAATTTTAGGGGATTTTAAACAGAAAGAAGATAGTTTTCGAGAAGTAGTTTCTAAAATGATGAAAGATAGAGATCATGTTGTTTGGTATGATAGTAAAGTAAGTGCTTATAAAAATGGGTTTGTGGGAAGAAAAATTCATGTAAAAATTTTAACCCCAAATGACGGGAAACCATTAATTGCAAGAGCAGCTGAAGAACTTGTTGATTTGAAGAAAGACATCAGTATTGAGCTTGTTGATGATTTTGTAAAAAAACATTTCGAATTTCCAGACCCAGACTTAGCAATTTATTGTAGTAGAAAATGTACTACATGGGGATATCCCCCATGGCAATTAAGATTAACTGAATTTATCAATCTAGAAAGACATACTCCTTTTACCCAAGATATATTTATAAAATTATTATACAGATATAGTAAATGTGAGCAGAGGCTGGGAAAATGAATATTTTTTTAATGTACCTATGTAGTTTGTATATCGTCAATAACAATAACGGCGCATCACCGTCATCAAATAAAAAAATAAAATTGAATTATACAATGGTATGCTTGTAGGAGCAAACTTATTGTCAACTGTAAAAAAGTATAAAGATTGGTATTATCTCTCAATAATACAGAACGCAAAAGTTTTGAAATAAAGCATGCAAAATTATTAATTTCACACTTTAATTGCTTTGATATTATCATTGAATAATAAAATCGATATCTTTGTAAAATATCTTCCCATTATGTGGAAGCAATTATAATGGATTTAGTAAAAACTCGTAAACAGTGGAAGTTGCGTAAACAGTAAAATAGAAAATTTATTTATAATTACCATTAAAAATAAAGTCTGTGATTTAAAATTAAAAAGTTTTTCTTTTAGTAATATAGTTTAAAAATTAAGTCAAATAAAATATACGCATTGTAACAATAAAAAAAGTGAATGTACGTTGGCATGTTTACTGATAAATTAGCTTTAGTAGGTTTTTCAATGGGTTTACTTTTTTCTTTCAATATTTTTTGTTAGAGGTTTAATTGGTTCATATAATTCTATAAATTAATAGCAAATCTTTAGATTACAATTAAAAATATAATTTCGACTTGAATTAGTTCTAAGTGGTTTCTGTAATAACAATTGTATAATCACACATACAGATCCAATAGTGTTCAATTTTTACTATTAATTTAACTATTCATTTCATTCCACTCTTATAATAGTCGAAGAGCACCTGCTTTCAAACCCTATATCTCCCTTAACTCTTCAAATTTACATTATAGCAACAACTGCTTATGTTGTCCGTTTGAATAGTCTTGTCGATCTTTCGGGAATCAACCAACTAGAATTCTTTAAACGTATAGAAATGAAAGAGATAAACATGGACACTTATCGTCCACATCATCATCATAAGGTCATCAGTCCTAAGACTGGTTGGACACGCACCTCCACTCTTTCCTATCCTGAGCTAAACTTCGCATTTCCCTAAAACTAGAACAGCCCACATCCTTAACTATTTGCGAACAGTAATCTAATCTAGGTCTACCTCTACCTCATGCCTGAGAAGGTGTCCTACCAACCTATCTCGCCTATTTCTTTTTTTTTTTTTTTATCGTCCACATCTACAAATATCTGCCCACGGCCACCAAAACGGCTGAATCACGTATAGCTTATTAGAAGTTCTAAAACATACGAATACGGGCTTTTTTGGCTCTTTATTTATACAAATTAATTAAAACTTGGAATATGTAACAGAAATTTCGACTTTGTGCTACTGTTTATGATTACCTAATACACACCCATCACTGATAAAGACACCACTTTAAGCAAACCTTTTGAGTATAATACATTAATTGGTCGCATCAATAAACAAATATAGAAAGATAATTTCTAATGGTTACATTTTTGTAAACAACTAAAGACAAAACTATATTTCCAATTATGTAATTTTATTATTGACAACAAACATCGGATTCCAATCTGTTAAGTATAAATTTCAACTTAATTAAAACTTTAAATATAAATATTCATTGTTAAAGTAATAAAAAGGAAGTATGTAAGAACTTTACTAGCACCTCCTCTTCAGCTTGGAAGAAAGATGAATTCAAATGTTTTACGAACCTGAACAAGAAGAAATATATAAATATGCACATTTAAAACGTTTGTATTGGAGAATTGGACCTAGAATGGCACTGGTTTATACTTTCACCTAAGAAATATGTTGAAACTTTTCTAAAAAGAACAAATTTATGAATTCATAATTGTAAATTATTTTAATATATACAAGGTGTTCAGAGAAAGTTTTATGTACAAAATTGCTTTACATAATTTAATAAATCCTGAAAACTATTATGACAAAAATTTCACTAGCTTATTTTGAACTAAATGATCGAAGTTTATTAATTAAATCCTATATATATCAATAATCAACTCACCATTTAATTTTTATAAACAACGTCCTAATACCTTGGTATCACAAATTAATTTTACTTAAAATAAAATTTGGAATTTTAAAGCAAAACTTTTTAATATGAAGAAACACAAAAATATTACTTTGCCGAATAATTATCAATGTTTTACTAGGCGCGTATTTAACCATTTTCTGTGGGAGTCATACCAAAAAAGTTAAACACAAATCATTACTACACATATTTTTGTGTATAAATACGTGAATTTGTTTGCCTGAATTATAAACGCTTTTAAGATTCCTCTTCACATCATTTACAAAATTACAAAGTCTCAATGGTTTCCATTAAATACATTTTTTAAAGTCTCGCAGTTCGTCCAGCTGGACACCTACTTGATTTATCGTACAATTTTATTTTTTTGAGGAGGGGTCACTCTCATGGCTCCTTTTGTTTACGCCTCTAAGTTTTAAGATTTTTTAATAAATAAATATTACACTTTTGTGTAGATCACTTCAAAATAAATTCACTAAATTTAGGCAAGCAAAACACCTAGGGACAAAATGTGGGGTTTTTAATTTTTACTGTTAGTTAATCCGATCTATTCATAAAAAAAGAAAAAATATTGCTTTCAGAAAATTAATAATTAATGATAGGTACTCCTGAAATATGTAAATCTTGGTTATTATTTACAAAAAAGGGAACCTTACCACTATTTACCTTGTTAAAATCATATTTCTTGCAAGTAGGAATCTTCAGAAATCTTTAAATAAACGTCGCATTGTCTTAGTTGCCAAGATTAGTAATAAATAGTAATTTATACTTTTTGTTCTTAATACGTCAACCACATAAGAAATCGTAAGACATCTGAAGATCATCACACACAATTATTTTGTGAGTTATTACCACGGAACATTTTAATAACAATTAATTTATTAGAATGGTAATTAAGACTAATGGTAAGGTTCCTTGTATTTAGGAGACCAGCCCTCTACCAACACACAAATGGTAAAATAAAAAAAGAATGAAAATACACAACCTGCTGACACTATCGCAGCATTCTCAACGTCTCTCTGACCTCTTACCCCTACTGCGACTTCGCGTTCGAGATCTGTGATACCTGATGCGCGACACAGGTGATCTGCGTCTTGACGAAGACCTTCTTCTCGTTCTATCGTTTCTATTGCGTGATCTGGATCTAGACCTGGTGCGTCTCGATTTTCTGTCTTCCGATCTTCTTCCACCGTATTTCGATCCAGAATCACGTTTGTAGTGCTTCGATTCCCTCGATCTAGATCGAGTCCTTGTTCTCTTTCTTGATCTAGAACGGGCGTGACGTGAATGAGAGTCTGATCTTCGTGATCTCATCGATGATGACCTTGAACGTCTATCTTTTGACCTAGATCGTATAGAACGTGATCGCCTGTTAGGCTGTTTGATGCGATGTGAAGATGGTTTGCGTTTTTCGACCTTTTCCGTCGAAGACGAACGACGTCTCCCAGGCGATTTCGATTGTTTTCGCCGACGATCGGGCGATTTCGACTGTTTTCGTCTTCGATCGGGTGACTTCGATTGCTTTCGGCGACGCTTTGTATTCGAGGTTGGCTCAGGTTTTGATTTCTCGCTCTCTCTTGATATTTGTCGTTGGAATCTTGTTTCCGGAGTTCGGGACTTGCTGCTTTCACTACTAGAATATCCGCCGCAATCGCTGTTGGCTTCGTAAGATGATCTGCTTCTTCTGGTCGACTTCCTTTGAGTTGAACGTCGTTTCAATTTTTCGCTTTCAGCATTGCTCACGGATGAAGAAGAAGAGGTCGACGAACTGCGAGATGAAACGCAACGTTTCTGACGATCAGAACCATTACTGGGTCTTCTTTTAGACCCTGCAATGACAAAGCGCTCGTCCAGGAAACAAACAGATTGTGACTTACACCAAGTTTCTGCCTTATGACAATGCCGATTTAAATATTTGGACAAGTGTCGAAAAACAGGCTTTCAATTTCACATATAAGAACTATTTAAAAAAAACAATTTTGTTTTGCAAATGGGGAATAATGGATAAGTGATTATTATCAGATTCAAATCGGCACAGTTGGAGGCAAAAGCTGTCTATCGCGATTCGTTGAGATGAAGAGGGTGTTTTTTTTATTAAAGTTAAGTACTGACCTTGATTGTTTGCGTCTACCTGTGATTCATTAATGTCGTCTCTGGGTGTACCAGCCCTGCTATCATCACGGTTTCTTTCGGCTGCCGATAATTTTTCTTCAATAAGACGTTCTGTCTTGGAAAACTCTGCTTTTTTCTTCCTTATAGTATTCTTGTGAGAAACAAAATTAATATGCATTAGAGCGTTGGAATGAGGTTGTTTAAAAGTCTGTTCATGACCATTTACATGATAAATTTGCCAAACATTAGATGTCATCATTTCATAGCAGTTATTTTTAATATTTCAATAGTTTAAAATAACTATTCAACTTATCCCACAATTACAATTACATATTTACAGTATGATAAGTATAATTGCATAAGGTCTTGTCAAAGTGACTGATTTTTAAAATCACAGAATACTTAGATCCAATCCAATTAATAACGAACGGTAAAATCTACAGAAAACTTTAACATCACATCAAATGCGTGTAAACAAAACTTTGTAAAACCAATTGAAAATTTCATATTTGCAATTATTTAAATTATACTAACCTTTAGTTCAGTATCTGAATCATAACTTTTTCTTTCTTGTTCGTCGCTGCTGTTATCACTGCTACTTTCCATGTCTTCATACATTCCAAGTCCTAATAGTTCAAAGCTACTCATGATAATGCCAATCTTAAAGTTATAAATATGAACAGTATCTACTTCATTTTTCAAGAAAATGTTATTGCTTATTTCTTACAATATGAGAAGTACGAGTAGATCCTATACCTTTTATTTTTCCTCTATTTGATTGTTTAATAGGTAATGAATATTTCAAGCTACAGCAGATTTGAAAGAAGCCCCACTTTTGAAACAATTGTAGAACTAAATGGATGATAACTGACTTATACGTGGGCAACCATACAAGGGGATACAACAATAAACTTTATTTTAAATAATTGTTTTTAATTAAATTTAACGTGAAGCTGCTAATATATCTTATAAAAAAAATAACGAATAAAACCCAGGATTAATTTATTTAGCCTTTGCTCTTTTTTTTAATTATCGATTGACTAAAGTGGGACTCCTATGAAGGAGGTGGGGAAATGAATTTTAAGTAACTTACCGAGTCTGTTCGTAATGTTGGTTCCGCTCGGTGCGGATACGCTCTGATCTGATGCTGAAGTTTATTAAACATAACACATTAGCTATTTCCATACATTAATCCTGCCAACATTCTCATTAAAATGAAACACTAAAGCGTCACAGAAAGTAGGGGGAAGGGTGAAACAAACAGACATAGAGATGGGGATAGAAGAATTCAGATTACATATTACAAATTGATTTCCATCGTCATTCGTAATTATATCTGACAACATTTGCACCAAGAAATTAACAACAGAATGGTTTATTATGTTTCACATTTCCACTTTATACCTTCTACGTAAATTACCTAACCTTTCATACAATATAGAGTAATCATTGATTCAGTAATTCAATTTATTTAGTTAGTTAGTTTGATTAACCAAATCACATCTTTATTTTATACAATTAGATTACTTTTGGGATTATTATTTTATAAAAAAAGCTGTTTATGCTTACTTACAAGCCTATAAGAAGTAACGAAAACTTAGAGAGCCCCAATCCATAGATTTTACATTTTACTTATTAAATTAAATAAACATATCAAGGGACAAATCACCATGGTTATTGTTACTTTATTCATTCAATAAACTACCCTAATAACATTATTTATCCTTTAAATCAGGAAGCATTTGATAATTAAAAAAGAGTGAATTCGAGAAAGTCCACTTATAGTTTTACATCTTCGAAGATTTTGAAAATATATATTAAGAACTAATTGAATTTTTGTTTTTCTACATGAACTGAACAAGTGAATTAAAAACATTACTTATTACACGAAATTTTAGTGATCTTCTTTTTTCTTAATAGCGAAGTTATATCAGAAACAATATCTTTTTTAATTGGAGTAATGGAAACAATATAAAATATAATAAAACATTCTGTAGGTATAAATCGAGCACAAAGTTGAATGCTGGAGGGAGAATAATATTAAATATTTATTTGGTCAGATAATCTATTTGAAAAAATTGTAAGAACTTAATTTTACCGAACGATACCTTTATTTTTTCTTAAATGTCTTTGCAATTCTTCCTTACATATTTCCAGTATTTGCTTATTTGTCACCTTTAGCAAGATCTCTGTCATTGTACGTCGAACTTTGAGCATCTAAATTAAAAAGAAAAGTAAAATAAATATGATGTATTTAATAATAATATAAGCATAAACATTTAAGTTCTTGGTCTTTTTAATTTATCGAAACCACCAGACGTGGACCAGGACTTCAGATTTACATGTACATACATGAAAGGGCTTAAGTGAACGGAAGCATATTTTCAAATGCAAATCACTAGTCTGCCCACTTCTCATCAGCATGCTCTAAGCCAGATGTGGGGAACCTTTTTACTATGAGAGGATTATATTATTTAAATTAAGCAATAAGAAAGGAGGCCGCATAAGTTGATATGCACCTATCTATAAATGTGACTAGTGAAACTATTATAGTTTTTGCATAGTTTTATCAATTCGAGATGCCTTAAACTTTGGGGTATGAAAGACCGCCAGAGCTGCAGCACTGCAGCGTTGTAATTTATGCCAAGTTTAATAGATGATGGTAGGGGAGGGTAACACTATGTTGAATGCGATTGTTGTGTTGATACCTTTCCGTGTTATATGTTTCGGATGTTTACTTGATACCAGTGATACTTAACAGCAGATAAAAGAGATTAGTCCAATCCTGGATTAAAAAGCCGGACTGAATTCGGCTAGCATGTAAGAGCTTCTGTTAGTCGAGCAATAGCTGTCGTTTCGAAAACTGCTTATAACGCAAGCGTTGTAGTAGATTTATTGAAATAAAAGGAAAATGATTTATCAAGCAACAGGCAGTACATCGCCATTTAGTGATGTTTGTTGGTAACAACAGTACTTCAAAAGTTTGATAGGGTTTTATGTACAAAGTAAAAATATCTTTTATCTAAAGGATATAGCATATACCTGAATATTATTTATTACAGATATTTCTTACCAAGTCTTCCTGGGATAGTTTTGGCACTTCTGGAGTTCTTTTACCATCACTTTCATGATCACAAGGCTCTTCATCGCTCTCCTAAATTAATGTAATAGTTAATAAATGCTACTTTAGAACCCTGAAGTATCAAAACTCACAAATTTACTTTTACTTTCTTTTTGTTTTACTGTTGATCTTATAATTTCCATGGCTTCAGTTTGATCAACAGTTGTCTTTTCTACTTGTTGTTCTCTTTCCAATCGTTCGCGTTCCTTTTCAAGCATTTTTTGTTTGTCCCTTTCCATTTTTTCTAATCCTAAGAAACATTTACATTTTCAAACAATTTAATAAATAACCAATGACAAAAAGTGAATTAATGCACCTTCTCTTATCCAAGCTGGAAGTTGTTTACGTTTGTTTGCATCCAAAGTAACAGGTTCAGGGGCATTAACAGGTGCAGGCCTTGGTACATTAACTTTACTGTAACGTTTATTATGAGGTTTTATTTTAGCTGCATTTGATGTTGTCCAATAGCCAGTAGTGTAATCATTTGACACTGTACTGTAACTAATAATTGATATATTTTTATTATCTTCATTTGAATTATTCATTCAGGATGTTAATTAAAAATTTTTATAATCTCAGATTTGTAAACATTATGATTATAGTACATTACATTGTTAAACTTTATATCATATCATATGTTGAGACTTACCCTCCATAATTTTCATTTACTGACGAATCAGTTGTAGAATTGTATTGATTAAAAGGTGCGGGAGTAGGTAGTAATGGGGCCTTTAGAGGTGGAGGACCAGGAGGTGGAACACCTGAAGGAGGGGTCCATGTGTTAGCCCAGTTCCACTGTTGTTGCTGTTGATTCCAACTCCATGAACTATCACTTGAAACACTGTTATCATTCCATGGGGGAAGAACTGGTTCATCTTTCTCGTTTTCCACGTCCATCGGTGCTTCTCCAGCTTCGGTTAAGTTTTGTTTGCTTGGTTGTTTTTCGATCAATGGACGAACAGCAGTTGATGCAATTTGATCTGGGACTGGAGGTCCGGCTTCTTTCATGATAATCCATTGCTGTGCTAATGCAGCCCAATCAACTTGATCATTTGCCGTGTTTTGATAAGCTGATGGATTTAGAGGCCACTGTGCATAGCCTTGCGATCCAGAATCACTGTTAACACTTATTACATTGTAGAAGAAGTAAGGCAAAAAACAACAAAGTTGATTAAGCAATTCTAAAAATTTTAAAATTTACTAATCCTTTCTAAAAATAGACAGATATGAGCAAAATAGACAATATATTGAATTGAGTAATAAAATTTAATCTTACCTGCATCCTACCTGCTGTGGAGTTCTACATTTAAATTAAAAATAACATGCATATGAGAAGAAATAAACGAGTATTTAAAAATTTGTGGTAATTTTTCACTATTATTTTCCAAAATTTAATGTTAACATTTTTTTATTTTTGGCACATTATAATGTCTGTAAGTTATTAAGGAGATAGTGCTAAATTTAGTACTAAAAAACCTTCAGTATACAAAATCGTTTTTACATTAAACAGTTTGAAAAAGAAAACGGCATTAGCAGATAAAAATGAGTAAATTTCCTGATTATACTTCGAATTTATCAATTCAACATTTAAGCTCAAAAAGATTAATATACCTGTTCATTTTTGTTCTTTGCTAAATTATCAGAAGGGACACATCTCCCATGCATCTGTGGATTAGGTAACACCTATATTTTAACGAAACTTTTTCGAGAACCTGATTTTCAATTTTTTACAAATGAAAACCAAATTGAAACTAATCGAAACTAATCGTAAATAAAATAAAATCACATAGACACTTTTGTTAGTTCATTTAAGTATGTTTGTAGGTAATTTGTCCCGTTTTCTTTCTTGCTGCATCGATTTTTTTTATTACTGATTATTTAAATTTTAGCTTTTACTTTCTAATTGTAGCGCAAAATAAATTTTTACATCAGTATTATTTTATTAAACAGGAGCAATATTTATTAAGAAGATATAAGATTCTTATTCTGTAATTATGCCAAAATGTTATGAAATATTCGATGCAAGATGTTTCGATATAACTTTTAATAATTGCAATCCTGGTGTTTCTGTATCTTCCTAAAAATTACCGGTTGATAATAAGATAATAATAAGGTTAGGTTAGAACAATTAAACTGTTGTGAATCGTATAGGTTGTACTCATTACTCACTTATATTGCCAGTAAAAACTTTATTTAGAACGTTATTAATGTTGTTGTTTTATGTATTATGAGTAAAGGCTAATAAGTGAATAAGCTGATATTTAATTTTATTTTTAAATTTTGTTGTGTATAAGTGTAGTATGAAAGTTCTACAAGTTGTGTTTTTAGTAAGTTTTATATGACGGATAAATTACGTATAAAACGATTGATTGCTATTAGTTTCTAGTACTTTTCACATCCCACTATAAAGCCAAAGTGAATTCAAAAAATGCAGTGATTGAAAGTATCGTAGACATAAAGGACTTTAAGAAGCTTCTTCGAACTAAAACCAATGTATTAGTTTGCTTTACTAGTTCTATTAAGCAATCAAATCAATTGGTTAAAGTTTTTAAAGAAGCTGCAGAAGTTATTAAGGGACATGGTACAATGGTTTTAATAGATTGTTCAGGGTATGCACATTATTTTTTTTTAATTAAGTAAATACTATCTTATACATATTTAGAGAAGCAAAAAAGATGTGTAAAAAGTTGAAAGTAGCTCCAGATCCTTACATACTAAAACATTACAAAGACGGCGATTTTAATAAAGATTATGATAGAAAGGAAACTCTGTCATCTATGGTTAATTTTATGAGGGACCCAACAGGTGATATACCTTGGGAAGAAGACTCGAGGGCAAATTATGTAGCACATATCCCTGATGCAGGAGTAAGGATTTTTTATCTTTTTATAGTATGGGAATGTCTTCTAAATTGGAAAAATTTAATAATATAATAATAAATAATCTAAAAATAATTTTAAGTTCC